CTGACCCAGAAACGGCTTTACGGGTGGAAATCGGAGTCATACTACACCTCCCAACCAAAACCTTGAATATTCTTATATATTCCTTCGGTTTTGGTGACACGGATTTTCACAACCGTGGAGGCGTTCACATTTTTGTTTTTGGTACATGTATACGACATGTCTAAGTAGTTGGGGTGGGTGGGGTGGGGCATGTTAACGTTCCCTGCACTTGCGTGGAGTGTTGATGCTATGGGTTATGTTAACGTTCATGTTGACTGGGGTGTGGTGGGGTGGGGTGGGGTGGGGCATGTTAACGTTCATGTGCACTCGCGTGGGATGTTGATGCTATGGGTTATGTTGACGTTCATGTAAACTGGGGTGGGCTGGGGTGGGGTGAGGCATGTTAACGTTCATGTGCACTTGCGTGGGATGTTGACGCTATTTGTTGTGCTCACGTTCATGTTAACTGGGGTCGGGTGGGGCGGGGCATGTTAACGTTCATGCGCACTTGCGTGGGATGTTGATGCTTTGGGTTATGTTAGCGTTCATGTTAACTGGGGTGGGGTGGGGTGGGGCATGTTCACTTGCGTGGGATGTTGATGCTTCGGGTTACGTTAACGTTCATTCTAACTGGGGCGCGGTTTCCAATGGATCCATCAGCATAATTCCAGAGTATGACACCGCAACCAGGCGAAGCAGAAAAATGACCGCTTGACAAATTTTCGTCGTCCGTCGCACAATTCCATGTTTTAAACGCGCTCAATTAAAACGCAGGCGATTTGCTCACTGCTCACCCACGATAAGCGTACGGTTGCGAGAAGCTGTGTTGCCTTGTTTTTCATAGTATTGGCCTTTTTATTTGTTTGAACTGAAGTTGGGCTTGTGGTCACAGGCGGAGAGGGCATCGGACGCAGAGTCAGCTGAGCCAGAGGCGCAAACAAGAAGTGTGGAGTGTAGATAGATCTGTTTTTGGGCAAATGTTTGAAACGCGCTTGCCAAGTTTGGTTAAGCAGGTGCAAAAGCCTTCTTCTGCTGACCCAGAAACGGTTTTGCAGGTGCAAACCGGAGTCATACTACATCTCCCAACCAACCAGAACCTTGATGATGACTGTTCCCTTGTTTTACATAGTTGGCCTTGTTTTTTGTTTGCTTTGAAGTTGGGCTTGTTGTCACAGGCAGAGAGGGCGTCGGAGGCAGAGTCAGTTGAGCAAGAGGCGAAGACAAGAAGTGTGGAGTGTAGATAGATCCGCTTCTTGTAGAAGTTTGTTGGCCAAGTTGGTCAAGCAGGTGCAGCAGCCTGCTTCTACTGACCCTGAAACGGCTTTACAGGCTGGAATCGATGTTGCGCCACATGTCCCAACTAACACGTTGGTGGCCGCGCCTGGTCAAGTAGTTTGCACATGTATGACCGTTGCTGGCGGGTGGGGTTGGGTTGGGTTGGGTGGGTGGGTGGGTGGGTGGGGAAGATATTAGCGTTCACGCGCGCATCCGCACATGCGCTGGAACGTGCATTGACACATCGGCGAATGCATATTGACCTTCACGTCGTACCGTGCGTGAACATGAATGAGGGCGTCATGCTTCAACACATGTACTCCTGGCTTTGGCGTTTGACCTGCAACTGGGCTGTGCATCCAGAGTGAAGTGAGCTTCAGAAATCGCAGTTGCACTTCCGGGGGTGACTTCGACCCCGCAACGCTCCGAGACTTGAAGAAGGGAAAAGACTCTATACAAGTGTCTTCAAAACTGCAGCGAAACAATTACGGACCTTCCGAGCAAGCAAACCTCGACCTCTTCCAAAACAACATACTCAATCCCAAAACATCACAAGAGATCACAAGAGTGGGAAAATCAGCGGTCGCCACAAAACAACAACTCAAAAAAATAAAACATTAAAAGAACTCTCAAATGCACGCTGCGACCAAAACCTTGCCTGTGATCAGTATTCCCTTGTTTTACATAGTATTGGCCTGATTATTTGTTTGCTTTGAAGTTGGGTTTGTTGTGGCAGAGAGAGCGTCGGAGGCAGAGCCAGCTGAACAAGAGGCGGGGACGAGCAGTGTGGAGTGTGGATAGAATCCGCGTCTTCTGCAGATGTTGTAAATATCGTGTTTGTCAAGTTTGGTCAGCAGGTGCAAGAGCCTGCTGCTGCTGCTGCTGTTTATGCCAAACATACTGTTTATGTTGATATTTACATTTGTATAATCACAAAAAGTCGCCTTTGTTGTGTGTTGATCTTGATCGTTGCAATGGGGATGGGGAATCGCTATTGGAGTTCCTTTCGATGGTGCACGTTTCAAATTCACTTGCTTGGTTGCACTGTGTGGAGGACTTTGCGCGTACGCAGCAAACCGGCAGCGTGTCAACGTTCCAAATCTTTGTGGGCGGGGAACTTTTGATCACTGCGGATGCTTCGGAGGCAGTTGCTGTTGTGTCAGTCGTTGGTGAACGAAGTGCCACAAAGCGATGCTTTTAGCCATGCGCAATTCGCCCATCATCACTGAAATTTCAGACGCTACTGTTCAGAGTTGCAACAGGCAGAGAGGGCATCAGAGTCAGGGCCATCTGAGCAAGAGGCGGAAGACAAGAAGTACCTAAAAAGGGTTGTCACCCTTGTCAACATGTCATCGGTTCCGTTCGTTGTTGCTTTTGATTTGCAAAATGTTGGTTTGTTGCTGGGTCAAGAATGGTGGAAGCACTTCACTGCGCCACAGGCTGCTTTACAGGCTTGGCGCTACCTGCGCTGGAGCAACATTACATTAATTTTATATGGACCCTCCCGTCGTAAATTATTCCAGGGTAGGGTCACCCCCAGGAATATTTGTTCAGAATAACTTTTTCGGAATATTAAAACCACCATGTTGAAGTTGGGGTGGGTGGAGGGTACCCTGGAATAATAAGGTCGGAGTTGACTTGCTCCACCATGTTCCCCTGTTGGGGTGGGTGGGTGGGACCCTGGAATAATATGATCAGAATGGACTTTAAAGGCATGATAAAGGAATGATGTCATAACTTCAAAAAGCCACATCACATGCTCGCATTTGCAGCTGGCTTAAAATCCAAAAACGATCGCAATCATGGGGGAACAGGAAAGGCGTCACAAGGATCCTTGTGACGCCTTTCGTTCTTAAACCTTCAACCTCTCTTGCCAGAAAAGAGGGCTGTCAGATCTGTGGCGAAAAAAGTGGCTCGGGCCATCTCCGGCCAAATGCTCCCATTGCGTAGGGGTGATCACGTCAAAGCCGCCCTAGACTTAAGTCTGCTGTCTAGAAGCCTGTGACTTCCAGGACGGCGAGTTCACGCCAGAAGCCAGACCCAGAAACCAAACTTGGGAACTGTCAGATCAGTGCTCGTAGGTCATAGGCGCTCCAGCCACATCTTTCTTGTGGACTCTGAAGCTGTAGATTGTGTAAGGTTGTACCCCAAAATTGCACATTTACTTCCTGTTGTATATCTCTGCTCAGTAGACAGCTAATTGCTAAATTATTCCATGGTCTATCACATCAAACCCACCCTGGAATTAGTTTAGCCAAGGAAAGAAACCACACCAAATTCGGCACTAAATGTTTGAGCTGGTCTCACCAAAACTCGGGAGTAGACCCGAGACCAGGGAATAAGAAACTGTCAGGTCACAGGTGCTGGGTCATAGGCGCCCTAAAAAACACCGTGGTTGTGGATTCTGAAGCTGTGAGATGAAGTGAGGTGTGTAACCTGAAGCTGCAGATTTGTGGAAGCTCTAAGATTTGTGCCTCAACAGGGCAAGTTTGCCTTCTAGACAGCTAACTGCTAAACTATTCCAGGGTCGAGCACATCAAACCCACCGCTGGGATTACTTTTTTCGTTGGTGGCTCTCATTGCTTGCTGTGTGGACTGAAATAATTCCAGCTGTGGGTTTGATGTGATAGACCTTGGAATATTTTAGCAGCTGGCTGTCTACTGAACAGTGGCCTACAACCATGGGCAAGCTTCCCATTTTGGCGCACATATCATATCTTGCACAATCTACAGCTTCAGGTCACACGTCTCACAGCTTCAGAGTCCACAAGAAAGATGTGGCTGGGGCGCCTATGACCTAGGAGCCCTGATCTGACAGTTCCCAAGTTTGGTTTCTGGATCTGGCTTCTGGCGTGAACTCGCCGTCCTGGAAGTCACAGGCTTCTAGACAGCAGACTTAAGTCTAGGGCGGCTTTGATGTGATCACCCCTACACAAGGGGAGTTTTTCACAGCTCCACAGATCTGACAGCTCTATTTTCTGAGAGAGTCCACAACAAAGATTTGGTTAGGTCGCCTATGACCTGGCACCCTTGATCTGACGGTTCCTGCTCTGTGTCTGCTCCCAAGTTTGGTTTCTGGGTCTGGCTTCTGGCGTGGGCTCGCCGTCCTGGAAGTCACGTGGCGGGTTGCTGATCTGAAAAGTTCAGCCGTTTGGCCGCGTGTTGGATCACTTGACGCGACCGGAAACGAGGAGGAATCAAAACGCAGAAGATCACTGTAGTGAAACTGAACCTGTGTTTTGGAGCGCGTGTAGGATCACTTATAGACTGCAAGGCAGACATGGCTGTAAAATGCTGTAAATTATTCCTGAAAGGTGTTCACATATGGAATAATTGTTGGCCAGGTGTAGGTCCACCACCCCTGAATAATAAAAACAATATTCTGGGGCCCCATCCACCCCGGGGCCCCAGATGGGAGGCCCCATAATTTTATGTAGCACTACAGGTACTGTAGCTTAGACGCGCTCGCCTCGTCCTTATTGGCCCCTTTGCTTCCAAAAGTCGCAATTTTGTCGCAGGCAGGAATGGCGTCAGCGTCAGTGTCAGAGCCAGCTGATCCAGAGGCAAAAACAGCAAGCATCAGCAAGCTCGTAGATGCGGTGTTGCTCCATTTGTTTGGAGTTTGTTGGCCAAGTTTGATTGATTGTCACTATATATGTTTTCTCTTGCCCCAGATTCTGCTCTAGGGCAGCACGCGCGCAAAACTTTTGGTTTGCTGTCATTCCACATGTCCCCACAACATGTTTGTGACATTTTGTGATTGCTATTGCCTTGTTCAGCATAGTATTGAGTATTGGCTAGTATTCATTGAAGTTTGTGAACATCCCATTGTCACAGGCAGATGGGACATTGGAGCCACAGCCAGATGACCAAGAGGCAGAAGACGAGAAGCTCTCATAGATTCTTTCTTTGGAGAGTTTTAGTCGGTAGTCCTATGTAGTCCTGTTTTTGCTGCTCCAGACCCTGCTTTGCAGGTTTGATGCTGCCAAAGCAGCATCATAGTCAAGTTCTTTTAACCTTAGTCCGCGTCATGTTTATTTATTTGCAGTGTTTCCGTTTGATAGTTGAAACATTGCGGGAGGCAGAAAGGGCATCGGAGTCAGTGCCAGCTAACCAAGAGGCGGAATGAAACGCAAATTAAAAATATCAAACAGCGCTGCTAAATATCTACGTGTTTGATCGTTTTTGCTGATTCGCAGAGCTTTTGTCCGGACAACATTTGCTCCGATTGCCACTGAACCAACTAGGTGGAGGAAGCTGCGCTCACTCTCCCAGAGGCTGCAATAGAGTCATTGGAGGCCTCATGCTGTTGTACCTACATCAGACCGACATTCTGGATTTTGAATTCTGGCGATGCAGTCGTTCAATATTTCACAAAATGGTTTTCCAAGAAGGCTCTTGCCTTGTTTTGCATCGTCCATGGCCAGTATCCTTCCCTTCAAAAATTGCGATGAACAAGCGATGATGTCACGGTCGTGCTTGGTGACGGTGTTGTGATCATGCTGGAAATTGCGTCGCATGGCAAGTTGGTAGCTGTCGGGATGGCTCAGCAGGGCTTGGGGAAGAGTTGTTGCAGGGTTCACCTGACTTCAGGAGGAGCTTTTCTTTGCAATTGATGGGTGTCTAGAGCTGTGGGCGGGACCGCGGGGCTGGATGATCTTGGACAGTTCCAGCATGCAAGGATAGCTTTTAAGTAGAGTCGGGAAGGCCATAGATGGCACATCCCTCTTGTGGTGCTGGCATCAAGCAGAGTGAAAGTACTGAAAGGCGAGCAGAACGCAAACTCGCCTGCAAACACATGCAGATCTCGGTGCTAACTAACACGTTGCCAACGCAAATCAGATTTTCAATTTACAATGTGTGCACTATGGTGCGCTTGTGACCAGGCCCCAGCTATTCACGTAATTACAAAAGCTTTGAGACCCCAACCCTAAATCAATTCGGGCGTGGTCCAGGTATTCTGTTTCGCTTTCACAACTTGTTGCCACGCGTGGGTGTGTGTGTGTGTGTGTTGCGCGAAGTCGTTCTCAATGCAAAAACAGCAAAACAGATAACACATTGTTGGGCGTGATTACGTTTGGCTCCCAGAGTGGCCTACGGTTTGGCATCCCTACTGTTTTGTCTTCCACTTGTTTCTCATCTCTTCTCTCCATTCAGTATTTCGAGGCGACTTGGTTCGGCTTCCTGCTGTTCCAAGATGACTTGGCCTTTGCGCCCCTACTTGTGGTTTTGCAGGCTTTCCAATCTGGAATCTATTCGAAGATGGCTTGGCCCCGTACATGTCTCCCCACTTGTCTCCTAACTTCTCTGCCTACATGCACAGCAAAAGAATCAAAATGAAAGATGGAAGGAAGGAAGGAAGGAAGGAAGGAAAGAACTCGGTTCCTAATTTAGCTTTCTCCTTGCCTCCGACTATGCATTACGCATTGTGCATTATTTGCATTCATGTCTCCCTTCATGTCCTCCACTGTGGTGGCTTAGATGCAGCATGTGCTTTTTGTTGGCTGTTTTCGGTCGATGGTTGTGTAGCTGCAGTGTTCCCGACCCGCAAGCTGACCAAGTTGACAGATACCCTTGGATCCTCTTGAGTTTTTGAAGTCGGGTCGGTGTGATGCTACCTGCGCCGCAGCAGCACGATTGCTAAGATTTTGGATCGTTGTCATGCGTTTCTTTGTTAAGTATTTTGTAGTACAATTGGCTCGTTGTCACAGGTGGAGGCAGCACCAGCTGACCAAGAGGCTTGAACAAGAAGCATTGGTTGATGGATGGATATGTGCTCATCATTTCAAGTCTATTTGATGGGGAAGTTTGGTGAAATCGGCGCTGCATCAACAGTGAGGAACGTGTCGTTGCTGCTCCAGATGATGCTTTGCAGGCTTGGAATGCGCTGTATTTCTAGAGGGTGTTACTGAGGTTAGCCCAACATAGTCGCCACATCAAGCAGGTGGAAGAAGTTGCTTTTGCTGCTTCATATTCTGATTTATAGACCTTGACCGCCTTGACCCAAGTGATGTTTTTCAAAAACCGATTGTTACTATATGCCCTGACCCAATATTGCCTATGTTCACGGCTTCTCTTTGCTCGGACACGACATAAATGACAAATGCACCGTAAGTAAAGACGAACGCATTGACTGAATCCGCAGCGTCTCGGCTTCAGCTGTATGGCAGGGGGCATGAGTGGGAGAACTGCTCGTGTACCCTCTGTTTGGCTACCCGCCAGATCCTCTCAGTGCTTTACGACCCGGAGGTCAGTGGGGCGGTGCAGAGGCTTGGCGTGCTGAACTTCGAGATCTTGCAGAGAGGGGGGGGAACAGAGGCTGCCACCTCTGGAACTCCCGGGGCTGGCGGTGGAGAACTCCCGGTAGAGGGAGGGACAGCAAAGAAGGAGAAGAAGGAAAAGAAAGCCGCCAAGGAAGCAGCCAAGAAGAGCCCTGCAGCAGCCCCCAGCAAGCCCAGTACGCCCGTTACTCGCGTGAAGGAAGAAGAGAGACCCAGAGATGAGCCCAAGCCAGCAGAGGATAGCGCCAGACCATCTACAGGCCCGGAGCCCGACCGAGGAGGAAAAGAGTGGATTTCCCGGTGTTGAGGAGCCGGCCAAGAAGGAGACCAGGAAGGAGAGAAAAGCGGTGGTGAAGAGCCCACAAATGGTGAGAGGAAGCGGGCTCATCGCGCAGCAGGAGAAGGAGGAAGAAAAACGACAGGGAAGACACCCAGCCAAAGTCCCAGACTAAGGTCGTGTGAGGAAGGAAGGACCTCCCAGCCCATCCAGGTTGCCCAGCGAAGAGAGGAGGCCTATTCCAGCCCCACCGCCACGGCCTCCACCAATCCGTATCCCTACCAGCAACGCAGAGCGCAGAGCAGCGCCTCCACCAAGGGTTCTCCCGATCGGAGAGGGAGGGCTCAACCCGAGGACAAGGCCGAGGAAGCGGTTTTCTCGTTGCCTGTGTATAGGAGGCAACAAGGGGCAGATCGTCCTCCTCCCGGGTACGGAGAGGCGGCTGAGGCCTACGCGAAGTCAGGCAGCCAGCAGCCGACAGGCTCAGAGATTACAAGGAGGAGTACTACTGAACAATATGCCGCCGAGGAGAAGACCCGCAATAGCAGCCAGCGATCGCGGAGCTGCCGGAGGAGCACGACCCGGTGTCCTGTGAGGAGGCCAGCCATCCGAGGAGGAGGAGCCCCTCCCGAAGCAGCAACCAAAAAAAAGTGGACAAGCCCCGCAAGATCCGCAAGCGGTCACGCTCCCGGAGCCACAGCAGGGATACACCAAACCGTGTCTCCCAAAGGGGCTCACGGGGAGGATGTCCGGTTGACGCTAGTTGGAAACTCCTGGAATGCGGGAGTCATTGTCTGGTTGCTCGAAAAGTTGCTGGGGCCGCTGGGACTTTGGCAATGTCCCGGGCTTGCTCCTGCGTCCTCCACTGAACCACCAGGGACACCTAAAGCAGGCCAATGAAGGTCCATTGCTGCGTAGGTTGGTTGGACTTGTTTCTATGAAGGGAGAAGACCTCATGGTGCAGACATCCACGGAACCGCAGGTGGTCAAGTTTCACAGGTTGAGGTCCAGCGCACCAGGTAAACTGCGGAAGTGGCGAGAGGTAGCTGGTTGGCGCTGGAAACGTTCTGGAGAACGTATTAATCTTCTGGAGCTGCGCGCGATCCTTACTACCCTCCGCTGGCTTGTTGTGAGGAAAGGCGTTCGAGGTCGTCGCTTTGTACATCTTACCGATAGTTTAGTGTGCTTACATGCGTTGTCCAGGGGTCGGAGCTCCAGCCGAAAATTGAGGCGTACCATTTCCAGGATCAACTCACTCATGCTTGCTGCTGACCTTCACCCCATTTGGGGTTGCATCCATATACAAGTGAAAACCCGGCTGACCGACCCAGTCGGCGGCCGTTGCAGCGCAAATAGGGAAAGTGAAGTCGCACCTTGAAGGGCGTAGGAAGGAAGAAAGAGCGCATACTAGACAATCGTTAGGAACATTGCAAGACCTCGCCGTTCAGCCAAAGACACGAAAGAGATACAATGAAGCCCGGGAAAAGTTCTACACCTACCTCCGGCGCAATGACTTGACCATACCCACACAAACCCTAGCCTTCGATGAACTCGTTGCGGATTACATTGAGCATCTCTGGAGTACAGGTGAAGGACGTGCTCTAGCTAGCGACACAGTGGCAGGTATTCAAGACGCGGCGCCGCATGTGAAAGGGAAGTTGCAGGTTACTTGGCGACTCCTTGAGACCTGGCATGTGAATGAGATCCCTTGCCGTGCACCTCCCCTGCCTGAAGACTGTTTGTTTGCTATGCTTGGCTGCACTTTGGCCTCACTCTCGTCATAGGCTTCTAGGAGTTACTGGGGTTGCGCAATAATCACATCCTCATGACTGCTCCCGATCGACCGGCTGTGATCTCATTAGGCCTTACCAAAGGAGGCAAGCGCGCTGGGGCAGCAGAAAGCGTAACAATTTCTGTGAAATGTGCACTTCAATGGCTCTGAAAACAACTGCTTCACGACACTGCCCGTTGGCCCCCAAACCACACGCGCGGCGGAAAATGTTTGGTGACTGCATCAAAGCGTTGAATTTAACGAGTTTGAATTTCGGCCTTACAGCTTGCGGCGCGGTGGCGCTACGTGCTGGTTTGGTCGGCGCGGCTCTTTAGATCGTATTTTGGCGTTAGGACGTTGGGCTGGTGCCCGTACAGCCCGTATCTACATCAACGATGGGCTTGCAACGCTTGCCCAATTAAGGTTACCCCAGAAATCCCTTCTACCTGTTGCGCGCGTGTTTCACCAGCATGACCTTTCAAAGTTGCCGAGCACGCTCGAGCATACTAAAGCAGGTAAAGGGGGACGTGGAAAGAGGATAAAAATCATGTGAGTGGAGGGCGCCATGAATTTGTTTACTGCGGTGTGGGAAAGAGCAAAGCTTTGTCTGGTGTCTTTAA